GGAAGCAACTTACCCTCCCTCTTCTCCTGCCTCCTCCTGGCTGAATGAGGGCCGGAAGCGGGGCGGACGGAAGCAGGGGGCGGGGCTTCGTCATGTGCCCTGCCCCCCGTACCTCACCCGGGGGAACTGCGATCCCCCGCGATCCCCCCGAAATGACCTCTGCCCCGGAGCATCTCTGCTTCTAATTGTGGGGTTCTGTGCTGAACACCGTGTGCCTTATGGATCTGCCTTCTACTGAATCAGCCCATCAAGGTCAGTATTGTCTGACCTTGTCTACTCAGAATGGCAGTGGCTCTCCAAGATCTCAGCCTGGACTTAGAGATGCCAGGGATTGAACCTGGGACCTTCTGCTTGAGAAGCAGAGGCTTTTCCACTGAGCCACGTCCCCGGCTATTGTCTTTCCCAAAATTGTTTTCTCGTGTCTTTCTTTTGTCCCTTCTTCCCTTCCCCTACCAATGAGAAAACGATTTTGAAACTCTGTTGAGCTGAAAAAAGTAGCTTGAAATGAGGAGCATGGCTGATGGCAGGTGGGTGAATGAAAGCCCTGCTAGGCACAAAGAAACTACAACTAGTGGCGTATAATATATTATTATAGCTACACAGAGGGCATTTAATAACTTCATATCATGCTTGGTGTGCATGAGAGTCACTGACAGTCTAGGGGAAATGAAAAGATAGGATGATTTGGGTTTAGATTTGAACTGGAAACGTTAGCCCATAATCTCCTTTATACCTTCTAGTAAATGAGCCTTTTTTCCACAATATATCTTATTGCATTTCAAAGGGCAGGTTAGGTTATAATTTTTGTTCTATTCACTTTCATGCTTCCTCCAGCAGTAATGAAAGATTTGGCTCAGACACTTGCAGATTCAATCTTCCAGCTTTAACTTTCCATTGGTCTTTGCCAGGTAATAACTCTGAAATATCTCTTTTTACTGAGAACTCCTCCAAAAGGTGCAGCTGCGTGCCGGTTTCATCTTGCACTTTGTAGCTATGTTGGCAGAGCTTAGATGCAAGGTATGTTTGTCAGCTCCCACACGTTGCTGTTACTAAATGCTGTTCAGACCTGTCTTTGCTAGTGAGAGGGACGAGCGTGTGGATTGGAGGGAATTATAACTTACGTGCCATCTGATTGGTTATCACCGTGGCGAGGTAAAAATAGAACCTGTGGAAAATCCTGCATTTCTGACATGTCATCAGAAGCCTTCCTCAACCTGGGATAAATGCTTAATGACTAGTGAAGAAAGCATTACTAGCTTTCCAAGACACCTCTAGCACTGTGTACATTTTGGAGACAGTGGAATTTAAAAAGAAATAAAATAAAAGTAACCTTTGCTTTATGTGAAGTGTAATATGATTACTTTAAGTGAAAAACTGATACTGGATTGCAGCAAAGGGATCTGCAAAGTTGCCCAGATTCTGAAGAATGGACTTGGGTCTCCTAGCCTCTGTGCTGCATTACAGCACGCTTCAAAGCAGAAGATAATTTTAAAGTCAGGTATTGGTTGCAAACGGCTTGTCAATTTTTATTACATGCATGTGCTCCCTGAAAATGGCATGTTAAAAGTGGGGCTCAGTTCTCACTATATTTCTTTTGATGTGTGTGTAGTCCTCGGCTCTGTTACATCTAATCCCTATACAGAGCTTGTTTTGGCTTTGGAAGTCGGAATTCTTACTTCCCCCCCCCCCCCCCTTCTGTTGCTGTAGAATGTCAGCATTTTGAAAATTAAAAGTGCCAAGAACAAACCTGGCCTCCTTCTGCTTAAATGTTATCAAATGGCATTTAGTTCTGAGAATGCTGTAAACTGTTTAGTTTGGCAGGCTTAACACTTCTTGAGGTTCTTGGTTTTTGTTTTGCTTTGTTTTACTTTAAATGACTGTAATTTTCAGTTTTCTGTCAAAGGTGGAAAGTTACTGTTGAAAATACCAGATCAGTATAAGAGCATGGGATCATTATACATGAGACATGCAGAACAGTACAGCTAGCTGCTGCTTGGGAGCAGTCATTTTTTAAACATTCAAAAATATTGTAATATAACTTCCTGTACCATTAGTTCGATGATCATTTGCATTTCTCATTTATCACTTCATCATATTCCATTTTTATGTAGGTTATAAGAATTGCTCTTTGAAATGTTAACTTTTCATTAAAATAAAATTTACAGAATTAGTTTTATATAAGTGGGATGAGTGTTAGATTCAGAAAAATATGTATTAACATATATACTAACAACTGCGAGAATATTACTGGCTAAGTATTGGAAACAAGATAGAGTCCCAACAAGACAGGAGACATTAGAAAAATTGATGCAGATAGCGGAAATTGACAAGTTAACCCTAATTCTTCAAGGGAAAGATGAAAGTGTGTTTATGAAAAGATGGGAAAGATTTTACAAATGGATGCATAATAAGTAGGGAAGTTTTGACTCAAATGTATAAAATGTATAACGTATAAAAGACTGGAAATTAGTTATGTTAAAATAATTGAAATGTTGGAAGGAGAAAAGTATGTTATATGATGGAAATTTATAAATAAAAGTGTTAAAAAAAAGGAAGTTAGGTGGAGCGAAATAAACTATGCAACAGAAAGCAAACTGATTGTAAGAATATGTTCAACTCCATATTGTGCTATTTTGCTAATTACAATAGTTGTAACAAGGTAAGAAAATGTTTTAATACTTACTGATGCTATAAAATTACAGTGCATTTGTATATTTATGGAATTATACTCTGGTTTCATGAAAGCTCATATTAATCCAGTGCTAATGCCCCCCCCCCAGTGTTTCTGCCCACACATTAAATAGTTAAAACTGACCAATAATATCCAAGGCCGGTAGTCTCAGATACCCATGTCTGTTTTTAAGTATGTGGCAAGGTGATGTAGTTTGTACTAGGTGCTTTGAACATTCCATTTGCCTGTTTTGGTTTCTCAGCTGACATATAACTTGTTTTGCCTGGTTACAGTAACATGTATACATGGACGTTAAAACTGTGTTGGCTTTTGTTTGAAAGCAGACAGTAAAAGAGACATAGCATATATTGTGTACATTGCCTCCCTAGCCATGCTTTGGCAGTTCTGGATTACTTCTGGTAAAAGACTGTAGATCTGGGCTCAGAAGAATAAAAAAGTTTATGAGTTACTTTCCTTGCAGAAACCACTAGAGGGAGTAAAAGGCAGCATAATTCCCTTTCATCTTTGTCTTTATGAATGCGGCTTCATGCACAAGTATTTACTCTTCTTGTAGGAAAACCTTACATACATGGTCACGTGTGCATATATTGGAAAGATGAAACTGTCAGTACATTCATTGATTCACTACTAATTTACATACTTGGAATGCATTTACTTATATTTATAAAACAAGATGTTTCTGACTGGTTGGATGAGGCTGTGTTTTGTTCTCAAGGAGCAAACATAGCTTCTTTAAAATGTCGATACAATTATTTTGTCTTGACAGATAATATATTTAGAGTGATGACTGGCTGCACCATGTTGTAAATCCTTTCAAAGAGCTTTTTTCCCTGTCGGACAAACTTCAAATCAACGTTGAAAATTCCCTACTGTCTCCTTTTAGATTTAGGTTCTGTGACTTCATCACTGATTAGGGCAGGTTCAAGTAATTGCTTTTTTGCAATTCTGTACAAAGCAAAGAAAGTTTCAGTGGCTTTTTAATGTGCTGTTTAAGTGGTTTTGGTAAACATTGTAAACATTTTAAATCATTGTACAGCTGCTCCGCAAAAGAAGGTGTGTAGGTCCTTTAGATAGATAAAAGGTTTTCTGTTTGTTTGCTTGCTTTTTCTGTGTTTATATTGAGTCTGCACTTAAGGTGTGAACCCGCTCCTGGCAATGCAGACTCCTGTGAGCTTCAGAAACAGAGAGATATGTGAGCATGGGAAGCCAGGTGGGCGGGGGTGGGGGGGGATGGAAAAGGCTTTCACTAAGTGCCATTTTGTCCCAATGTTACCAGCAAAGGATGAAGAAACAAGAATCTTCCATACCACATCGAGAGAAAGGCCAATGTTCCAAATAAGTAAATAAAACTTGTGAGGTGTATAAGCAACCAACACCTTGTACAATAGCTGTGGCTCTCTGTGCCAGTCACCAGCCCAGTGCAGTCAGGTAGCCTTGGCAGAATGCACAGCATTGCACCTTTTGCCCACAGGAAGCTCTGCACATGTAATTTGAGGGAGTTCACTGTTAGTAAAGGTAGCAAGCTAGCCCAATAGAGACTTTGCAAGGACATCAAAAGGCAGAGAGGCAGGGAAGGTTGTTCAGCGATTACACTGTATGTTAGTGGGAAGTGAAAGATAACGGTAAGCATCTTATCGAGATAGGCATCAGGACCTAGAAGAAACAAAGGATGTGATTGGACACAGTAATGTGGATTTGTGCCGTATCTCTCTGGACTGCCCAGGGCCCATGGGTCCTACATGGAAAAATGATGCAGCACCCGACCTTCATAGGTGGTCAGCATTCTGTCAATGCCCTCTGATGCTGAGCTGTGTGCACCATGCCCAGGAGTCACCCTTATCAGTCACATTAAGTGAGGAGGTGGGGTCAGTGTTCAAAGGTTGATGGGAAAGGTGTGGCTGGATTACACAGTTAGGCAACCCCAGACGGTGCTCCATTTGCCTAGAAACATGCCCATGAGTGGGTTTAGATTAATGAAGCCAGATCATTTTGTTAACCCTTCAAGGCTATATTTCTGATGTTATATGGATTTAAAGAGTCTTATATAAAGGAAAGGTAACAATGCCAGAAGAATATCCAGGGCAGATTTTCTAATTTTAAAAACATTATTTAAACAAAAAAAATTTGAGATTTGGGAGTGAAATCCTGTTTCTTTTAAACAAAGATATTATGTAAGATTCTAATACGCAAGCAAGGACCAATATGCAAACTGTTTACATAGACTTTGACAGTGGATAAAGGGAATTTGTTCAGTGTTTAAAATTTAACCACCTACATTACATCTCATGACTTCATAGCCTAACTGTTTTATTTCATCTTTGTCTGTTCTTTTTTACAGCTTTTACACTTCCGGATCTTTCTGAACAGTTTTCACCTCCTGATAATGCCCCGCCATTCCTCGTCAAGTTAGTGGAAGCCATCGAAAGAAAAGGTATGCAGTGGATGAACAGGGCTAGCGTATTAATTTGCTGTGTGCCCAATGATTCAAAATAGCATCCATAGCAAGCTGCAGCTATAAATGTTAGGAACCACTTTCGGTACTGTTTAATCTTTTGCAGTTCTTACATGCTTGCATAGCAATGTCAGAACAGAATCCTGTTAAAGCTTTCTTTCTTCCATCATATTAAACTGTCTAAAAGTATTTGTTTTAGCATTTTCCCCATTGTACTAGTATTCCGCATTTGTCAGCCGAAGGC